GGCAGACTCAGCTGCTCTCGGGTGATCTCGCTTTGGTGGCCGAAGGACCCGAGGGTCCTGTCAGACACATTCGCGTTCCGAGTCGTGGGGGTAGAAGAATTCGAGGTAGAATCGAGTCAGCACTTCCTTGTAGTGCAGCGGACCGCCAGGCTCGCCATCCGCAGGGAGGCAGCATATGAGCCACCAGTCTTCTGGAGAGCTCAACAGCTGCGGCCGCGATGGCGGAGTCGGCCGCGGTTCGAGCGAGCAGCTTTTGGCTGCGGGATCGAATCGCGGAAAAGGCTCATGCCCTCGCGGAGCGACGCGGGTCGCGCGGCGCGCGCGTGTGCGAAATGCGACAACAGACGACAGACGCCTGAGCGCTGTACGACTGAACGACCGTCGCCGCAATCGCCACCACCGCCATTTTGACGAGCAGCGCGAGCGCGCTCGTCGGCGGCCAGCCGTCGCGGGCCGGGCCGAGCCCGGCCTCAACCGGCCGCGCCGCCGCAGCAGGCCCGGAGGCCCGAATGGCGGCCGACCGGCTGTGATAAGGACTACTTCTTCAATTCTCTTCAACTTGGTTGCAACTCATGTTTGCTTTGGTGGAGTTGTTGTTAGGAGGTGTTGCTCTTAGTTGTTTAGTTTCGGCTAGCGGTGCGCACCATAGAGCATAGTATGGCACACAAGGGTGTAAAATGCATATAAGACACCAAGAATCTCGCATCGACGACAGTGAGGGTGACGATGCGGGCGGAGTCGGCGAGGCTGCCCCATATTTCTGCGACGGCGGCAATAACTGGCCTTGTTCCGTGTCCTCAATTACTTTGTCGAAGACCGGGCAATTCGTAGGTTCGCCGCCGTTCACATAAACGCACAACCCCGAAAATCGCACAGAGACAGTCACGCAACACGGCTCGGGGCCCTAGGCGCTAGGGAAGGCGAGCAAAAACCTTATCGCGCGCGCTAGACGCCGACTCGGAGGCCGCACCGGTCAGGCGCGCAGCCGGAGAGAGAGGGAGGCGCTCAATCGCCGCACGCGGCGACCGGCGAGTTCACAGACCTTGTTATTATTGAGAAGAAAAATTCATTCATTGGACATTGCGCTGCGCGCTGGTCTATATGAGAGGTTGAGATGCGAGCGCCCTGGAGGCACTGGGGATGGGGGGAGGCTACCCGCGGGCCTTTGAAGGCCCGCGCGAGGGGGGGTTGGGACATTGTCATTGAGAGCGCTACG